CTCAGGTGAGAGAACCAAGATTTCCGTGCGACCAGAGGCAGCTTTCCAGGAACGCCACGTCTGCCGGGGCAGATAGGCTAGGGCAGCCCGTGGCAGTGAGTCAGGGTGAGAGGCCCCTACTGGAGACTAGATGGGTGGAGTCTGGCACCGGGCCCAGGCACCCAGCTGCTGGGGAGGGGCTGAGGGAGGCATCAGGCGAGCTGGCCATCCCAGGGCAGGGTGCTGGAATGGAGGGGTCCCTCAGTGTGTAGACACTGGGCTCTGGAGGGAGTGTTGGGAACTGCAGGGGTGGGTGGGTGGGGGGAGAGGGAGGAGGCTGGGGGAGCATGCTTTTCTTTAACTGCGTCTGGAACCCCCTGTCAGGACAAACTGAGGTCGTTGGCCATCTGGAGTGGGGAGTCATTCTCTAAGAACCTGTCACTTCTGTGAGGCATAGGTTCAGGCGTCTCCCTGCTCTGATTCTGAATACCCCTCCCTCCGCCCCCTCCCCAGCCATGGCGCACAGTAGGTGCTCAGCTGGTCTCATCCAGCCCCATGCCTCCTGATACCTGTGGAAAGCTCAGACACCTGTGGGGACACACAGAGGGCACCTGCATGCCAAGGCTGTCCTCCGTGGCCCAGCAGGTCAGTAGGCTCAGGGTCCAGAGTGGGCGATGTGTGTGTGTAGGAGGCTTTGATCCCTGCTTCTCTCCCAGGGAGAGCAGCGAGTGAGGTGAGTTCCCACCCAAGGAAGGGGTGTGGGAAGAGGAGGTGGGCCTGGCTCCCTGTTTAGCTTCTTGCTGCCCTTCTCAGCACAGGGACACGGTCCTGGGCACTAGCAGCCATGGCACTGCTGCCCATTCTGCTCCGAGGCCCTCACACCCAGAAGTGAATGGCACCTTCTATGGGATTCTGTGTCTTCTCCACAGCCCTGTTAGCAGACAGGAGACCGAGGCCTGCGGGAGCTGCTCCTTTTCCAGGTCCCTCAGCCAGAAGGATGTGGCCTTAGCCTCGGGGCTCCTGACTGCTCCTTTCTAGGGCGGACAACTGCGGGTACCAGCTCCCCACCGAGGCTCTGAGGGAGGCCTGCAGAGCAGGGCTGATCAAAGCCTTTCCAGGGCAAAGCCCAGCGTGCAGGCTGCCCTGATTCGTGGTCTCCCCTGGGTGCACCTGAAGAATGCTCCCTCCTCAGGGGCCAAGGGCAGAAGAGGAAGAGGATGGGGCTGGGAGTGGTGGTGCTGGTGGGCGGGGGAGTGAGGGGCAAAAGAGATTTCCAATAGAGGAGGGAGGCCCGAGTCTCCTGGGAGGAGTTGCCTCAATGCAGGCCCACAGCGGAGTGGACCAGGAGAGCTGCTTGTCTCCTGCCCTGCAAGGTGGCATCTGGTCCCCATTCCCAGAGCTGGGCTGTGGGGGTCCAGCTGCCAGCAGCACCAAAGTTCTAAGATGGGGTCCTCTCCACACGCAGCAGTGAGGCTCGGGCTTCCTGCCGCCTGCACACCTGCAGTATCTGCAGCAGAGGCCCTTGGCTCTCTGCAGCCGGGAAGGAGCCCAGGTGGGACTAATGACTGATTAACACAAGGAGTCCCAGCTCCTTCCCAGACCTCCCGAGGCAGAAAACTGTTGTTGGGCATTTTTGTTATAAAAATTATGTTCAATGAGCACCGCTGTAGCTAAAATCTCTCACATGCCTTAAAATAAATGCTTAGAAGAGGAATTTCTATTTTTTAAAAAATTTTCTTGTACATCCTCTCTAGAGGATATTTTTCCCATTGGTTTTTAGAGAGAGTGAGAGGGAGAGAGAGAGAGAAAGAAAGAAAGAGAGATCAATGTGAGACAGACGCCCCTGACCTAGGTCAGGGCCCCGGGACCAAACCTGCGATCCAGGTGCATGCCTTTGAGCAGGTATTGAACCCGAGGCCCTTTGGTGCGAGGCCGACACTAACTATTGAGCACACCAGCCAGGGTGGAATTTCTAATTAAGGATTAGAAACATTTCAAAAAATCACATATTTTTGGAGAGGAAGAGATAGAAACGTCAGTGATGAGAGAGATTCATCAATTGGTTGCCTCCTGCAAGCCCCCCACTGGGGATTGAGCCCAACACCTGGGCATGTGTCCTGACCAGGAATCAAACCCTGACCTCCTGGTTCATAGGCCAACACTCAACCACTGAGACACCCTGGCTGGACAAGGATTAAGAACATTTTATGCCAAGCTATGCCCCAGAAATATTGGGCTAGACTCCAAGGAGGAGTCATTATGGGATGCTGGGCATTTTATTTTGGGGACATATATGACTGGGCTACTATGGAGAGGCCTGAGCTGTCAGATACCAAGAGGACTCAGGGTGGGTGTGGCTATAGGGTGGGAGGAAGTGGGGAGGTAAATGCAAGGGTGCTGCTGGGACTTGGAGGGAGGCAGGGACAGCTTCCACTTTGCCTGAGGTGGCACTCACCCTGTCGGTCCAGGCTGGTGCTGGTGGCACACCCAGGGTGCCCACGACTGTGATGGCATGGCCATACTTTTGTTGACTGCAGGTCAGGTGATCTGAATGAGTTTCATCCACAGCAGTCATTCTGCAGCCCTGTGGGCAGTTGGCTGGCCAGCCCCACCCCCAATTGGGGCGTTGAGGGCCGATTGGCCCTGGATCTGGCTGGTTGGCTGCCACCCTGCACATCCTAATCACTGGTCATTCTGGTCGTTCCACTGGTTCGGTTTCTGGGTATATATATATATATATATATATATATATATATATTACCACAGTACAAGAAATGAAGCATGGTCCCACTCCCCCCCACGCCCAAGACTCCCTTGCAATTGGTCTGGGTGTTGCTTAAAGGACCCAGAGGAAGTGGGACCCTGGATAGAAGGTGAGGCTTGAGGAGAAGGGGTTTGAATCCTGTCTCAGCCATTGTGTGTTTTGGCATGGCAGGGAGCCCCTGACCGCAGGTCCTGAACAATGGGGTGAGGGTTAGTGCGACAGCCAGCACCTGCTGGTGTTGAGAACACTGCCCAGAGCCCAGCAGGCATTTCAGAAGAGGGGGCGGAACCACTGGAGCTTCAGGTCCTTCTACAAGAGACAGGGCTCCTAGGGCAACATCAGAGCCAGGCCCAGGCGTGTCACCTCTGGTCAGGCCATTGAACCCCTCAGTGCAAAGGTGCTGATGATAGTGCAACCCCACTGCAGTATCACCTGGAAGCCTCAAAAATGTCTGTTCGGGCCACACCCAGACCAATTGCAGGGGAGTCTCAGGCGTGGGGGTGAGTGGGACCACGCTTCATTTCTCGTATTGTGGTAATCTATATATATAAAAGCCCAGCGACTGAACCGGTGGAACGACCAGAACAACCAGTGGTTATGATGTTCACTGTGGCAGCCAACCAGCCAGATCCAGGGCCAATCAGCCCTCAATGCCCCAATTGGGGGTGGGGCAGGCTGGCCGGCCCGGCCCGATGGGCCCCCATTATGATGGGCTGGCCATACCCCAGCTGTGCACGAAATTGTGCACCAGGCCTCTAGTATATACATAGTCAACATTACCACTTTAACCTTTTAAAAGGTATATTCACATTGTAGTGAATCTTCAGAACTTGATTATCTTCCCACCCTGAAACTGTCCATTAAACTCATTCTCCACCCCCACCCCCAGTCCCAAGCACCCACCCTTCTACTTTGTCTCCATGAATCTATGTTAAAACACGTATTTAAATGGAATCATACAGTGTTTGCCCTTTTTGTGACTGGCTTATTTCACTCAGTATAATGACCTCAGGCTCATCCATGTTGAAGCCTGTGTCAGAATGTCCTTCTGTTTCAAGACCAAGAAATATTCCATTGCCTGGGCTGACCACACTCGATCCATTCACCCCCTGATGAATGCTTGGGTTGTTTCCAGGCTCCGTGTTTTGTAAACTCCCATGTGCTTCTGTATGCGGTTCTGGTTCCCAGCACCATGGGCGTCACCCTGGCCCTAGTGCCAAGGGTGCTCTCTGCTGTTATCAAGTCCAAACAGTGCTTCAGGAAGTCCCCTTCCTCAACACACACCGAGAGGGCTGCCAAGTTTGCCGCAGGTGGGCCAGTCTCGGCAAGGGACATCAGCTCTCATCTTTGCGGCTCCCCGTACTCCAGCCCGGCCCTGTTATTACAACACAAGAAGGGCCAGCGGGTCACATGCACAGTGTTGGGGAGGGAGAGGGCGGCCTCACACTCATCAGTTACCGGCTGTACCTCCCACTTCACCGCTCAAACCTGACCTTGTGCGCCCTCCTGGCATCCACTGAGACCCTCCTGCCCCTTCCGCAGCAGCCTCCTCTCTAAGCCAGTGGGGAACACGGACGGAGCCAAGGGAACCCACTCTAAAGCACCGACTCAATGCGCACGATTTGACAGAGGTTCATGGAAGGCATTTTGGGGGGGACATTCATCGAATACCATGTTAACCTAAGCCCAGCGCGGTGGTAACCCTCCAACTAAGCTTGCCGGGAGGACTGCACCTTCGCATCCGCGCGCTCCGGGACTGCCCCGAGCCCACGGCTGGGCGCGGGGACACAGTGCAGGCCTCCCCGCACCCGCACCCGCACTCCCGGGCCCCCCCCCCCCCCCCTCCGCGGAGGCTAAGGCCGGGCTCGAACCCGCCTCCGGACCCATCCGAGGCCCCGCCCACACCCGCCGGGCTGATGGCCACGCCCTCTCCGTGGGGGGAGGGGCGGAACGGGCGCGACCAACCGCAGTTCCCAGGGCCTCGCGAGTTAGGCCCCGCCCCCGGCGAGCGTGCTTTCCCAGACTCCTCTGCGTGCGGTGAGGGGACAGCGCAGGCTCTCCCTGCGGCCGGGCAGCGAGGCGGGACGCGGAGGCCCCGGGAGCCGGTGCGGGCGGGGCGCGATCGTCCGAAATCGTAAACCGGACGCGACCTACCTGCCCGCGGCGCCGGAAGTGGTCGCCGCCGCGCTGGTTCGGCCGGCGGGGCTCGCCGGGGCCGCGGAGGCGGGCCGCGGACGGGCCGAAGGTCGGAGCGCCCATGGCGGAGGGCGGCGGCCCCGACGGGCGGGCCGGGCCCGGGCCCGCAGGTAACGTGCGGGCAGCGGGGTGAGGGCAGGCCCCTGCGACCCCTCGCTCCTCGGCCCGGCGGGTGCAGCCCCCGCGCCGGACGCCCTTTCCCAGGGAATTGGCATCTCGAACTGCCTGCCCGTTAGGAACCCGACTGGGCGCACAGTGGCCACCTTCCAGCTCCGAGGGCACCTGCCAGGGAAGACCCAGAGCCGGCCCCGCGGCGGCAGGTGCCTTTTCTCGGCCATGCCACCCGCGCACAGTGGTGACGCCTTCGCGGCGAGCTCTCGGTGCCCACGTCTAGAGGAGGCAGCCCTGTCATGCGTGGGTTTAGGCAGCTGGGAGGACTCACGCCCACCACTCAATAGCCATCTGGCTTAGGGTCTCTCCCTGAAATAGTCCTGCTGTGCCCATGTGAACCGGCAGGGGCAGTGCGTCACTCGCAGGTGTCCAGGACAGCCGCCCTCTGCACCTGCGGCGGGATCCCCTCCTCGCCTGTTGTCTGAACTTGCCCTGTGTAACAGCCGCTTTTGTGTGCTCCGGACTTCACATGCTCGCACGTGTCTTTGGAGAGAGACCTCCTCCAAAGAGCTTATCAGCCCTTAGTAATAAACAAGAACCTTGCTGCGGTTACTCATAGGCGTGCCATGATTTAAGATAGAGTGTTGCCTTGGAGACCAGAGCAAGTAGCACTTTGCATTCCTCCCTTGCACCCTCCCTCCCGCAAACATTCACTGGGGGCCCAGTATTGGCGGCACCTTGCTGGAGCTGGGACACCCCAATGAACAAGAACAAGTCAGGCAAGACCCCTTCTGCTCTGGGCTTTGGTCAGTATTGGCTTTGACCCCCCGGGACAGCCAGGACATGAGGGCCTGGAATGTCATTTCCTGTGAAGGTGAGGGACGGAATGAGAGGTGTTCAGTTGGGAAGAGGAAGACTGACAGCCGCTCCCCAGTGGAGAGAGGAGTGTTGTGGAAGGAAGGTTGGCGCTATCCTTACACACAGGGGCTTGTATACAGAAGGCATGCAAAAGAGGTTTGATTGGACTATAAAAAGCATCTTCAGCACTGGAAAAAGCCTGCCTGTGGAGGGGTGTGCTGTACAGCTGTGCTTGGCCCCACGCTGGCATGGTGGGGACGTGAGTGCAGGCAACCTGAGGTCCTCACCCTTCGTCCTGCCTGGCTGTGTAATTGTTTTCAAAAGTCTTGTTTGACTTAGGACCTTCTCTTATGATGTAGCTTTGGCTCACCATCCCCCATCTCATCAATGTCTTTAGAATTATCATTCTCATCAGGTTTGGTGTCAGGAATGTGCTACTTCTGTTAAGGGAAGCTTTCTGTATTTTTCTGTGCTCTGGAAATTTCTGGAGCGTGGGAACGATTCGTTCTCGAGGGAAAGGGATTGCTGTCGATGGCGCCCATTTTGGTTGGCATGGGCAGGGTTTCCCGGAGCTGACAGGAGCTCCTCTCTTCAGTGCAGGTCCTAATCTGAAGGAGTGGCTGAGAGAGCAGTTTTGTGACCACCCGCTGGAGCACTGTGAGGACACGAGGCTCCATGACGCCGCCTACGTGGGGGACCTCCAGACCCTCAGGAGCCTGTTGCAGGAGGAGAGCTACCGCAGGTGGGCGTCGCTGTCAGGGGGCTGCCCCGGACTTAGGCCCTGTGGGTTTGCACGAAACCGAGGCTCACAACCCAGGGAGGCCCACTATCTGGTTGCAGGTGAAGAGCTGATGCTTCCCCATTTTAGAGGACAGGGAACTAAAGAGATGGAGGAGTGGTCAGACTCCTAGGAGAAAGCCCGAGACTGAGGCCCAGGAGACCCGAGTTCAAGTCCAGCTCTGTCATTTGACCTTTATATTTTCTGGTAGCTTTTGCCTCGTGGTGTCAGCTTCTTCTGTGTTACTCCTGAGGCAGCACTGTTACCCTCTTCAGCAGCGGTGTCTCTGGCTCTTCACGCTAAGTGGTATACTACATTCACCTTCCTTGTGTATTTTCTTCTGGTTATCTATCCCTTGGGGGTTCACATCACCGGATGTACCACACGTGACCTCATTCCTGGTGTACTCCTCTCTGGCTTCTCAGGTCCTCTGTCATCTGCCTCCAGGGCCTGGGGATGGCTGTCTCATCAACCAGGCGTATGCTGGGTGCTCAGTTTCTCTTTCTCTTTGTCCATAGTGCCATAGTGCCCTGCCTGTCTTCCTGCCAACTCCTCTCAGGCCCTCCAACGTGGCTCAAGCCCTTTCTTCCCAGCAGTGGACTCTTGCGGCTCCTTCTTCCTACTTGGGACACCTGGGAGAGCTCAGGGTGTTTTCTGATTGCTTGGGTGCCTCAGTCTGGAGTCCCAACTGGATTTGAAACTGCAACCAGAACAACACCATGCTTTTTCCATGTTTTTCTTTCCCCTTCAGGACTGAGTTGAGAGAAGAAATGCCTGCATGTAGACATGGAATCCAATACCAACTTTGTGGATAGTTCCCCAAAAAAGGGTTTTTGCCCTGGCTGTGTGGCTCAGTTGGTTGGACCATCATCCTGTACACTGAAAGGTTGCAGGTTCGATCCCTGGTCAGTGTGCCTTTGTGGCAACTGATCGATGTTACTCTCCCACATAGATATATCTTTCTCCTTCTTTCCTCTGTCTCAAAAGTCTATGAAAATAACTCTGGCTGGTGCTGAGAGCATTGACCCACACACCGCAGGGTTGTGGGTACAATTTCTGGTGAAGGACATGTAGCTGAGTTTCAAGTTAGATTCTCAGCCCTGGTCAGGGTGTGTGAAGGAGACAACCAACTGATATTTGTCTCTCACATCGATGTTTCTCTCTCTCCTTCTCCCTTTTCCTCTCCTTCTCCCTCTCTCTCTCCCTTTTCTCCCTCCCTCTCCTTCTCCTTCTCTCTCCCCCTTCTCTCCCTCCCTCTCTTCCACTCTCTATGAAAAAAAATCAATGGAAAAAATGACCTCGGGTGAGGATTAACAAAAAGAAATAATATTTAAAACAAATGAAAATATATTCTCTGGTGAGGATTAAAAAGAAAGGGTTTCTAATACTTCAGAAATAGGTTTCTTTCTGCTTTTCCTTATAATACCTCAGTATTAATCCCTTACAATAGATATTAATATTAAGAAAAAGCTCTAAATGTCCATAAAGAATTGTTATACAAAGACATCAGGTGGATTACACACAGATATTCAGTGTGAATGACTCAAGTCCAAAGCAAACTTTAATTTGCTGCTTACCAGTAGAATAAAAATGGCAGAATAACATGGAGTTTAGGTTTTAGATCCATGGTTTTTATATTGCTTTTCTAAGTATGTCTATCTTCTTTCTATACTCAAGTACAGTGACTCTCTTGCTGGTTGACGATGTTTTTGTTGCTATGTATTTCTTTGGTGAGGTGTCCTGGGAGTGTTCCTTGGCCTTCTTGTCCAGTGGAAGCTAGTTTCCAGCTGCAGGAGCAGCCCGGACCCGCTGCATGTTTCTGGGTCACTGCTCCTGTGATCTGGGTTCCTGAGCGGTGTCCAAGGCTGCTTGGGGAACTTGAGATGAACCGTGCCTTAGTTGTTGGCTTGGAAGGTCAGTAGATTGCATGGATGGCATTCCTGGGTAGGGAGCCCTGGTCTGATGGTCACTTCCAATGAGAGCTGAGTCTGCACAGGTTCTCTCCATTGGTGTTGGCCAGTAGTGTAGGTCCTGTGCAGCTTTAGAGTTCCTGCAGGATGTTATTTGTGCTGTGTCAGATCAGAGGAGCCACAGTGGTCACCTAGTCCCAGGGAGAATACCAACTTTAGGCCTTTGCAGGTAGGCCCAAGCTGGGGAAAAGGGGCCTGGAGGTCTGACCAGATTCCCGCGAGTGCTGTCCTCCATGCTGCCCCGCCTCCCTAGGCAGACCCTTCCCCTCTGTGGAGCAGCCCAAGATCTTCTCCAGTGTCCATCCGTGTACCTGGGCCTCGGATTTCTTTTCTGTAGAATGGGTCCAGCACGGTGAACATCTGAGTGCTGTGGAAGCAAGGGGGTGACTGTTTTAGAAAGTTGGCCTCCTATTCTCTGTTTCCTAGTCTCTATATGAGGGGAGGCGCAGCAGCTTATGGGTTTCCCAGTGCCCACCTTCACAGCCTGGATCCCTGTGTTCTTTCTCAGCCGCATCAACGAGAAGTCCGTCTGGTGCTGTGGCTGGCTTCCCTGCACACCGCTGCGCATCGCGGCCACTGCTGGCCATGGGAACTGTGTGGACTTCCTCATCCGGAAGGGGGCCGAGGTGGACCTCGTGGATGTGAAGGGACAGACGGCCCTATATGTGGCTGTGGTGAATGGACACCTGGAGAGTGCCCAGATCCTGCTTGAAGCCGGGGCTGACCCCAATGGAAGCCGGCACCATCGCAGCACCCCGGTCTACCACGCCTCTCGCGTGGGCAGGGCCGACATACTGCAGGCCCTCATCAGGTCAGTACTGCCAGGCCCGGCCCCCATGGCCTCTGACGGCCACCATGGGGAGCTGCAGCCATGGTCTCACTCCTTGTTTTTCATTTTTGCTTTTCTCTCTCTCTCTCTCTCTCTCTCTCTCCCTCCCCCTCCCTCCCTCCCTCTCTCTCTCTCTCTCTCTCTCTAATTAGACTTGTTAGAGGATTTGTCTATTTCGTTAATCTTTTTAAAGAGTTTCTTCTTACCTGTATCAGTTCTTTTATTTTTTTTACTGATTAATTTCTATTTTTAATTTCTGTTTTCTATAACTTTTGAGTTACATGCTTATTCACTTTTTTTCTTGATTAATAATGTAAATATTTGCCTTTAGCTTTGGCAATTCCACTAGGCTTTTTCCTCATTTTTAAATGCAGTTGAAGTTGAGGTCTTTTTTAAAAAAAATATATTTTTATTGATTTCAGAGAGGAAGGGAGAAGGAGAGAGAGATAGAAACATCAATGATAAATCATTGATTGTCTACCTCTTGCATGCCCCCTCCTGGGGATCCAGCTCCGCAACCTGGGCATATGCCCTGACTAGGAATATAACCATGACTTCCTGGTTCAATGCTCAACCACTGAACCACACTGGCCCAGCAAATTTAGTTCTTCTTTGCTCTTATATTTATAGAGAAGAAAGTTTTGTGCCTATTGTGCTCAGATAATTTCCATTTTGGGGATTCTTTGAATTAAATATCTTTTTTTAAATGTTAGACTTCATTGTTGTGGGTGCTTGTACCAAAGTATATGACCATGGGTGTTTTGTTTGCATAGTACAATATAGTTGCCTCAATTATGTAATTCAGAGTTCCTCTCTCTGTTCTTACATTTTTAACCAAATTTAGAGACTCTGTTACTGTCTAGTCACTGTTGTGATTTGTTTCCCCTGTATTTCTAGTAGTTTTTGCTTTCTGTATTTTGATGCTAATTGAGTTCATAAAAGTTCTTATTTATTGGTTATGCTCATTATCAACACTTTTTTTTTTTAATGAAAAACCTATTAGTTTCATTGAAGGCTCCTTTACTCAGCACTCTGTAACTGTGAGCTTTAATCTTCTCAGGTTAATCTTGGTGTTCACCTTTCTATTTGACTGTCTGGGGTTCTTTGTTTTTAGTACAGTTAACATGATTGCTGGAGCTGCTGTTAGGTTTGTTTCTTAACTGTTCTTCAACTCATGTCTTTGTTCCATAATCTATGCTTTCTTTGCTTTCTCTTTCTAGCATTTTAGATGGTTTGTGGTCTTATTTTAATTACACTGGTGGTTACTTTTTTTCCTTACTTGAACCAGGTTGCATTTTCATTTTCCATATCTCTAGTGACTTACTCAGGAGGCAGCTCCTCTGTGGTTGACTGAGTGCAGTATAGGTAGCCGGTTCTCAGAGTCAAAGGACTAGGTAAGGTTCTGTTGTTACAGGTTGCAGTGGGGTGGCTCGAGGAGAGGGACCTGACACTCCCCTCACCCAGCACAGAACGTGGTTTTGAAATCAGGTTTTGAAATATATTTATTCCATTCTGTACTAAACGGCTATGAAATTGACCTTTGGGAAGGAAAATGGGATGCGATGGCTGTGATATTGAGGGTGACAGAGCAGTGATGCCTTTTCTCCTCCTTTTCCAGGCTTTCTGGCCTGATAAGCTAAGCCCTGTATTTTTGCATCTTGGAGAACATAAGCCATTGATTTGGAAATGTTTCTGAGTAGGATCAATCAGTGAAGTTTCATCTTGGCTCCTGAGATCCCTCTGGGCACTTCAGTCGTCCTGATGCACGGCTGCTTTGAATTAAGTGCAGGCCTGGCTTTGGGAGAGGGCTTGGAGTGCCCTGTGGAGAAAGGTCATTAAGGCATCTGGTTCTCTCCAGGAGAACGGACACTGCTTTCACAGTGAGGTCCCCAGAACACGTGCTACTCTATTGAAAGTTTGTATGTTCTAAGTGATGAGGTCAGTGACTTGGGAAATGGGAGTGATGTGGTTGGTTCCTGATAGACAATCCAACCTGAGCATTCCTGCCTTCCCACCATTTCCCCAGGCCGGGCTTTCTTCTGGCACTGTTAGTTGTGTCCTCTGCAAGTAAGCCTCCGTTCCGTTACTGTGTATGTTGCCGATGTTTTTTAGCAAAGGTAAGGAGTGGTATTTCTCTGTGTGCACGTTATGTTGATTTATTGAGTTATCCCAGGGGTTCCTTGCCAGTGATATTAAAAGCAGTAGGGAATTTTGGAAAATATTCAGGATTAAAATGAACTGGCTCTCATCCAGTATATTTTTATGAGTGGATGCAGGGCTGTCTTTCCCATAGCTCAGCTAATACCAGATTGTCATATTGCCCAAAATTACAAACATTTTGGAAAACAAACCCCTGAGAATGAGGGGGGGAAAAAATCAATGCTTGAAACCTAGTTCTCCTTTTCTTAATTGATTGTGTGAAATGAAATAGAGTTTCTGCATGGTTTGGTGTGTGTTTTAGAATGTTTTCCTTCTCCCTTCTAGGATGTCTGGGAGAGTGATGTTTGCCGTCCACACGGTGGACATGATGCCACACGGTGGCGTCAGTGGGAGGCCTATGTGCCGTCTTTACAGGCCAGTGCTGCTGGAGTGGCAGTGCAGGTTCCACAGGACACTGGGACAGAGCACAAGTTTGGGCCAGCCATTTTGGGGAATGCATGGAAACAGTGCTGTTCCCTCTGCCCCCTTGTCGTACTGCCTACAAACTCCCATTTCTTAATTCAGATGAAGTGTGTGATGGCAAAGCTTGGGAGGCACAGCAGGACTGGCTCAAGGCCACAGGTGCCGGCTGTCTGGTGCTTACTCAATTAGAGTAGGTACTGCATCTTGGTCAGGATCCCTGGAAGTGAGGCTGCACTTCCTACTGCATTCTGTGAGGCTGCATGTGATTCCAGTTGTTATTGATACTGCTGACGTCACGGTGACTTTGTGGTTACGTGGCATCTGCCAGGTTGTTCTTTTTCCCTCTGTAATTAATTAATTTGTGGAGCAGTATACTTTGCAAACATGCATATCTCTATTCCTCATCAGATTTTTAATTCATTTATTTATGTCAGACTCATGGTTTCCTGTATTACCCACTGAGTTATTATTTAATTATGTTGTTAATTATTTTGGTGCTTTAATTGTGTCAGATTTGTCTTCGGGACCCCCAGCCAGCCATCTCTATCTTTGGACACATCCCCATCTTTGAGCAGTTCCCCACTTTCTCACATAACAAGCTATGCTAGGCTCATCTTGTGCTTTCTGTCTCAGCCCTGGAATTTGAGTCCTGGTTTCTTTGAGTGGAGAATGTGTTTAGAAACCAAGATCAGACACAAGGAGTGCTTATGGCGCGTGGTGTCACTGATTCCATACCCTCCTACTGTGCAGTCACTCATACATTCGATCTGTTTCTCTGTCTGTGAACATCACCAGGTGGGTGTTCACATGGGTGCCTCTAGCTTCTCTTTTCCAGCCAGAGATACCTGGTTTGGGGAATATTGTTTTGGTGATTTCATAGGATAAATTTGGAAGTTTTCCTTTGTTTAATAGTTTAGCTGTGGAATTGTTGGATCTTTGAAGATTTGAGAGAATTTTCTTACGAATTTGTGAGTGGGTTTCAGGTTCCTAACTACTGCTTACTTGCTGGAAGTAATGAGACTGATGTGAACTGTGGTATCTCCAGGGATCCCCAGTGCTCATGGGGTTCAGGCCCATCTTCTTAGGGTGCGTGGGAATCTGTTGACACCATTAGTCCCCTACAAAGTCTGATCATCCTTGTGTCTCCCCTGTAGGTACGGGGCCGACGTCGACATCAACCACCACATTCTTCCTGACATCCGGCCGCCCTTTTCCCGGCGCCTCACCTCCTTGGTTGTCTGCCCTTTGTATATCAGTGCAGCCTACCACAACCTCCAGTGCTTCAAGCTTCTGCTCCAGGCAGGGGCGAACCCTGACTTCAACTGCAACGGGCCTGTCAACACGCAGGGTTTCTGCAGGGGCTCCCCCGGGTGCGTCATGGATGCCGTCCTGCGTCACGGCTGCGAGGCGGCCTTTGTGAGTCTGCTCGTGGAGTTTGGAGCCAACCTGAACCTGGTGAAGTGGGAGTCCCTGGGCCCAGAGTCCAGGGGCAGAAGGAAGGTGGACCCCGAGGCCCTGCAGCTCTTTAAAGAGGCAAGAAGTAAGCGGCCCAAATTCAGCTCTGACTTGCTGTCTGTTTGGGACACTTGAATGAACCAAGTTGTAGCCATTTAAAAATACCTCCAACTAAGCGCATGGTTAGAATCTTTGTTTAGGGCTAGGACTTTTCCAGAATGGTCTTCCAGATTGGTCTTCTCTTTAGAATTTGTAGATACCAAGAGCTGATACCAGGGAATCTATAAAAGTACCTATTCTCAAAGCTCCTAAAATTATACATTTTTCCTCTTTTGCTCTGTTTTGTGAAATTCTTTCACTTCTATTTAATTTTTATAAGACATCTTTTTAAAATCCTCACCCGAGGATATATATTCTGTTGATTTTTTTTGAAAGTGGAAAGGAGAGGGAGAGATACAGAGAGAGAAACATCAGTTGTTGCTTCCTGCACACGCCCTGCCTGGGGCTGGGGATTGAGCCTGCAACCCAGGTATGTGCTCTTGACCAGAATCAAACTTGAGACACTTCAGTCCCCGGTTGACGCTCTAAACACTGAGCAAACCAGCGAGGGGTCTAATTTGATTTTTAAATGCTTGCTTTGAACAAATTATAAGCCCATCTATTAGTGTTTCCCATTTCTCTTTGGTTTGGGATTGTGTGATAAGTCTAACTTCTGTTAGAATAAGTCCATCATTTGCTTATTTGTGCACAAAGATTTTGCCAATGCATTAATATGTTGCCAGCCAGAGTCTGCAGTTGATGGGGCTGGGTCTTGTCAGAGGCTCTCTGGGGCTTGGAATTTATTTTGAGTGTCCTGTGCAGGCCACTGTGCCCTCTGACCTGCCCCTGCCCAGCCTCATTGCTGCCCGAGTCCTGGGCATTTAGCCCTCACCTCGTACAAACTTGAGTTTGTTGTTCTTGGTTGTTGGGTTCCCTGCAGCTGTCACTGATACTTGCTCCTATGGGCCTTCGGGAGACCTGGTGGTTAGAGGGGTTCTGATAGAATTAAGCTGCCTATCTATGTTCATCCTGTTGCCCAGGTCAGAGACATGGCTAGGCTTTTTTTCACCCGGAGCAAAATTGTCAGTCTATCCTCACCCGCTCTCCCAGACTCCTGGGAGGCTTCTGGATTGACCCAGAGCAAACCCTGACAGCGGGAGGGGGGCAGTGTCTACACCTGCAGGGCTTTCAGTGGTCAGCTCTGACTTCTCTGTTAGGGAATTGAACACAGTTGAGGAGATGCTGTCAGCCAGCAGGTGCCCCAGGTAATGAGGATTTCCCTGCTTTTGCAGACGGAAGGAGCAGGTAGCAAGGCCTTTTACACCACGGTTCGTGCTCCTAGCTCTAAAATTGGGAAGTTGGTAGTGACCGTCTCTGCCTGTCAGTCATAACCAGCCTTGGCTCCTCAGAGTTATGAGAGGAATTAATTTCTCCTCTTTCTCTCCATTCCTTCCCATGGCCTCCCAGGTGTCCCCAGGGCTTTGCTGAATCTGTGCCGTGTGGCCGTGAGAAGAGCTCTTGGCAAATACCGACTCCATCTGATTCCCTCGCTGCCGCTGCCAGACCCCATAAAAAGGTTCCTGCTGTACGAGTAAAGGCAGTGCAGTGGTGGTTTGCAGCGCGGAAGGCGGTGATCTGCGGGGAAGCTGGACCTGCTTCTTGCTCCTGTGAGCCCATCCTGTGCCGACAGATCACATTTGGCTGTTGCTAGGCAGACGGCCTTTTTCTTCTGGGTTGTAATTCCATCTCAGGTCTTGGACATCGGACAGTCTCTGGGTCATTATCAGCTGAGAGGCTCATACAGAACTTGATGTTATTCTTCCTCAGTGTCTGTTTTGGATTTTCCCAGCTGCAGATGGATGAGTGGGCCTGGAAGTGTGTGCAGGTGCAGGCTGTGGTTGGAGAACTCAGCACTTTCCAGAGCTGTGCTTCTGTCTGTGGTTTTACTTCTCAATTTGTTTGATTCATCCTTCTGATATCAAATGGAAAGGGAGTTTTTGGTAAAAAAGTAGAGTGCAGAAACACAGTTCATGAACTTGCTGGTTGTCCCTTGCTCCTGAGGTTGACATGTGACACATGTCGTACATACATCCCTTCCTTACCAGTTCAGTGTTCTCTCCTTGGGGTGGGGAGTCCTACTGTCTTCAGTCAAGGCTGGTTTCCTGGCTGCAAGGATTGGCGGTGTTATCTCAAAGTCAGTGCCTGCGTTTGTTTGCAATCAAAAGAGAGAGCGTCTGCATTCCCCAGCTATACCTGTTCTGGTATTCGACTGCTTGGCATCATGCCGCAGGTCCCGAGTTTTCTGCCATTTCACTCTGGGGAGCTTGCAGACATCGTTTGGACCAAGGCCTGCCCAGCAGCATCCACTGCCAGGTGCAGTGGGAAAAGAGACCTGCAGCGCTGCCTGTCTCCTAGTCCCTGCACACATCAGCGTGGCACCCACCTGTCCTTGGTGCGGCCAGGCTGTCAGCTGTGGTTGGTAATTGCTCCTCTCTGTTTGGGATCTGATGTCTTGGTGGTATTCCTAGAACCTAAGTGGATAAGTGGTGAGGTCAGGTCCCCCCCGGCCTGCTGTGGGGGGTGGTAGGTGAGAGAGATGAGTGGGTTGTCACACCTGGGCTCTAAAGGAGGAGTTTCAGGAGTGGTGCTCAGCTCACCCTGGAGTTTTCCAATCCTGGGTCCCCTTTTGCTGCTCGCTTGGCTCAGGCGCTCTCCTGTGAGCCATGTTGCAGAGTTACGTGCTCTGCGCTGCCCTGCTGAGTGCTGTCTGCAGGGCCTGTTGACACAGCTCCCCAGCGCTGTCCTGGAGAGGGTCGTGGTGTTCGGGGCTTTCTGGACAGCAGCCCCTGGGATAGCTGCCAGCCCACGAGCCCCCCATGTGCAGGCGCCACCTTCTGGCTGCACAGGGCCAGGCCTCACCTCTTCCTTTCCAGAGGACAGGATGCTTCCTGGGTTCAGCCATTGTCTAGTGAGTTTTTTCAGAATCCCTACAATTTGGAGGTCAGCCTGCCTGAAACTTTATAGCTGCCAAACGTGTGAACAGTCAGCTGCTTAAGGCCCCTTTGTTGTTCAGAGTGACACTTTACTAAAGCTCCTGGTCTTTTGTTGGAACGGTGGGCCACAGCACAGGAACAGTAACTTTCTATCAGAGCACTTTATACAACCATGTTTCTAAGCCCTGGGCGTCGAAGAGCTGAGGCTGCTGCCTGGCCGGCCCGAGCCTTCCCCAGGAAAGGGCACCGGCAACCAATGAGAAGGAGCCGAGCGCCCCCAGCCTAATCCGCGGCGCCTCTGACTGTCTCCATAGTCCTGAGCTCTGGGCCTTGGCTGCTGGGGACAGATGGGCTGGGGTGGGCATGGGTGGGGGCAGTGTTGATAACTGAGAATTCAGCTTTGGCACCCTGGGTGGGGTGTGGAAACCCACCCACCTGTGTCACGTTTGTGCCTTTTCATGTTGTTTATTTATTTATATATTTATTTATTTATACCTGGCTTTATTCCGGAAAAGCGTTTAAGGCAGAGATACTTTAGTTTTGATGTTTGGTTCTGAAATTGGATAAGTTTTAGTTAGTGTGTACTTGTTAAACAGATACTTTTTTGAAGAAAGGACAATTGACAGTTTCCTAATGTAGAATATGTCTGTTATCAGGCCTAAGTGCCATCACTTTAAGTTTTTTGCATCTTCCATGACTTGATTCTTCAAGTGAATGTTTCATGCAGAAGTAGGAAGAGGAACAGCAAGCACAGGACTGAGCAGAGGATGCCCTGCCCCAGAGAAGCAACTGTGCCTGGGCAGGCCCGTGGGCAGGGAGGCCGCGCTTAGCGAGGCTGTGCCTTCCCCGCAGGGCTCACAAGGAGAATGTATGGGAGGCATATTGTGCTTGAGCAGTCCCTGTCAGCTGCTGTCCTGGTGACTGGTCCTTTCCTCGGTGCGGGTGCCGTAAAGGTCTGGGACCTTGAGGATTGGGCTTGACTGTGTGTCCCCTGGGGCAGTGAGAGTCCTGGGGTCCACAGCTAGGTCTTGGGCACAGCAGGCACTGTGCAGGTCGGAAGTATAACTTAGAAAGTCCAGTTTAGTCAACCCAAAGGGTTGTCTTTTATTTTGAGATTATGTTCTTAATTTGGGTGATAAAATGTCCTTTAATGAAGGTGGTAAGAGGGGGCAATTTAAAAAAAAATCTTGGTTGCAAAACAAATTGTTGGCTGCCTTTTGTCAAGCTACAGAATTTCTCGTTTGCCCATTTCTGAAGTCCCAAAGTTGGGGACCCACAGTTCAGCTGTAGTGTGTTTACACAGCGGTGACAAAGTCCTCTTGGATCCTGGAAGTGGTCTGTGCGCTGTTGAAGGACAGTGTCATGTGGCTGTTGCCTCATCCAGGAACGAGCTCTGAGGTCCTGTATGGCATGGTCGGAAGTGCATGCTACAACCTGGTGATGACAGGGCCAGCGTCCCTGCAGTGGTGGCCCTCTGGCCACTTCCGAGTCCACAGAGACTCTCCTCTGTATCTTGTGCAGACTCTATTCTATCTGCTCTAGGCGATAATAGGATGGAGAAGTGAGGTGGGGAGGAGTGACTTCTGTTGCTTTAGAATATAATTGCTCAGTGTCTGGAATGCGTAGGTATCCTTTCTTTTTAAGTTGCTTTGTTTTCGGATCCCTACCAAGTAATGTACGAATGTGCATAAGTCCGGTCTAAGTGTGGTGTTTATGGACACCACTCTCTCGTGTATAAAACCACAGTGTGCTGCTGCAGTTCAGCCAGCAGAGCCCTCTGCCTGGTGTGTGCACAGCTCCTGTGTGCCGGGACATGCCACAGATAGGACCGTCCTGAGCACAGCGTCCCCTCAGCTTTGTGATGCGTGTGTTTGACCACAGTGGCTGGGACCCACTGCTCTTGCACTTGTGCCTGGTTAAGAGCTTTCAAAACTACAATGGACATCTTTCTATGTTACTGTAAATTAATAAATGCTTTATTCCCCTATAATTCCTCCAAGTGTCTTAATTTTTTGGACCATTTGTCTCATGGGATTGGTCGTGTGAAATCTTTGTGTCCGAAGTTCAGGGGGGAAGTAGCTGTCCCTCTGGAAAGTTTCTGACGATTGCAGAGAAGGACTTGTCTAAGCAGGGGTTGCGAATGGCCCTCAGGGTTGATGCACAGCTTTCAACTGCTGGACGGGCCTGTTTCACTCAGCGGGTTTCTGGTTGGAAGAATGTTTGAAACGTTTTCAAGTGAGGCTTCTGCCCCTGCAGTGTTTGATGGGGGAGGGAGAGGTGGAGACCACGGGCGAGAGCCTTGTTTCTGGGCCCTGTTACATGTGATTTTTAAAAATTTTAATTCTTACCAGAGGATACTTTTTCCATTGATTTTCAGAGAGAGGGGAGAGGCGAGAGAGAGACACATCTATTGGTTGCCTCCCCGATGGGCTGAGGATCAAACCTACAATCGAGGTACATGCTCTTGACTGGGAATTGAAGGAATTGAACCCGTGATCCTGCTGGCCTACATTCTAACCAATGAGAAAAACTGACCCGGGCCATGTGGCTCATTTAAAAAAATAAAAATATATATATATATTTTAATTGATTTCAGTGAGAAAGGGAGAGGGATGAAGAGATAGAGACATCAATGATGAGAGAGAATCATTAATCGGCTGTCTCCTGCATGCTACCTACTGGGGATTGAGCCCACAACTCAGGCATGTACCCTGACCTCCTGGTTCATAGGTCAACAACCACTGAGCATACCAGCTAGGCCCATGTGGTCACTTTGACAGGAGAGTGATGGGAGGAGGTGAGGTGTAAAGCTTTGGGAGGAACCCAGGAACGAATGAGTTAAAGACAGATGTATGTCCCCTGAAGTCCTGAACCCAGTAAGCAGGTGTCATTGACTAGAAGACCTACAGGGGCCATGTCGGAGCCATAATTGGTCCAGACACACCAGGGAATAGGGGAGACTGCCACTAAGTTAGGGGGATGTGCCTCCTCGGGATGGGCATTCACAGGTGTCGTAGTAACTGGCTCTGCAAGATGCAACTGCTCTGAAATTCCCAGGCTTTGCAGCCCTGTGTTTCCTGTGGCCATCTCCCTGCCAGCAAACTAACTCCTGTGGTGGCTGCAGCCACTCTGGCAGGGAAGCTCCTTGGGCTGCCTGGGCTGCTGGGCCAAGGCTGGCGGGCAGGGAGCCACCTGGTGCACTGAGGCAGGGTCACCGGGTTCCTCCTCCAGGGAAACCAGCCTCCCCTTTCATAGCCTCTGGGCCTATGAATTGCAATGGGTCTCTGAACGGGCTGAAGAGCAGTCACTAGCTACAGTTTTAACTCAGGTTTTTCTCCTGTACCTGAAGTTTTCTTCCTGCTTGATTTTGAAAGTTGTCTTTCACAGCAGATGTACACCCTCCCACTCCCCACCCCCTGCCTGTGGAGGTCAAGTCCTGCCATTTGGCCTCAGCTTTTCTGAATCCCATCCTCTTCCCTGGAACCAACCAGCCCGTCTCCATAGCAGCATCCCCACCATCACATCTGCCCGTCGAGGGAGCAGTCCCAGAGCTTCTCAAGGATGTACTCGCACATCTTGCCATGTTTCTCATGCCTTGGTGACAGGAGTGCTTCTGGGGAAGTGGGCGGTGGTCACCTTGATGAACCCAGCCCCACATTCCTGTCTCCTACGCCTTGGCTCCCCTCCTCCAGTCCAGGAAGCTCTGCACCTCAGCCTTATTAAACATAGGTCTCTTTTTATCTTAATAGTTTAAGTTTCAGTTAAGTAAACTTGCTGTTTACAGCTGAATGTAACTTCCAGCTCCTGCTACATTCCTCACTCCTCACTCTGACCCCTCAGGACTCACCTCCATCTGCTTCCATGTTCCTGCTGATACGTGTGAGGGAAGGCTGGCTCAGATGAGCTGTTTCTTCGGGGCACAGGCACCCTATGCCCTGGGGCACGCTGGATTTGCCCTGGTTTTGTGTCTGGCGGCAGAGTGGTAGTGTTGACAGTCCCTGGTGAGTGACAGCATCTTCAACATCCCCACTCTTGTCTGTGATGCCAAAACCAAACTTAGGGAAGACTCACAGGAGTGGGGCAGTTGCATTTACTCTGGTGTCAGAGCGTGGGTGGGAGTGGAATCCCATTGTCATGAGTTCGGGAACAACGGAAGTGTGGGGATCAGCACGCCATAGTGTCGTCTCCCCTGTGTCTGGTTTGACTAGAAACAATGAACGCTTTTCTCCAAAGGCCCTTAAAGTCAACTTTACAGGCCATCAGCTCTGACACTGACCCACCATTGGGCATCTTGGGGATGGGCTCTGGGGAGGGCTGGCATCCCATCCTGGGCTGGGCCCTGACTTGTCACGTGCTGGCCCAAAAAGGTGAATGGAGGACTGTGGATGGAGCCTGAGCCTCCCGGGAGCTCTGTGCTGTCTT